TGAAGACCAACATGTGCATGTGAGCACAGTGAGGGGTGGGTGGAGCGTTTCAGCAGTGGTGACAGTGCCATGAGAGGTGAGTCGCGTTCTGGACAACTGTGCACAGTTGTCACATCACCAAATGAAGAGCATCTCAGCACACATTGACGGATTGTGATCCGGGAGCTGTGCACAGAGCTGAGTGTTGGCTTCAGTGCGCCAGAAACAGTGGTGGCAATATCACAAAGTTTGCACCAGACGGGTCCCAAAAATGCTCACACAGGGACAGAAAGAACCATACGCAGGTTTGTCAAGATCTGTTGAACCAATAGCAGGCTGCAGGTAACAGTTTCCTGGATCACACGATTACCAGTGATGAGAGCTGGAGTCAAAACAGCTCTCCATGGAGTGGTGACATGAATTCCCCACTGCAGAAAAAGTTGAACACAGCCGTCAGTGGGTAAAGTGATGTGCACTGTCTTCTGGGATAGGAAAGGGGGGATCCTTTTGGATTTCCTGGGACCCAGACAAACCATCAACTCTGACTGCTGCAATGCAATGCTGACTAAGGGAAGGCTTGAGCTTCCAGAGTCAGGCCAGAGAAGAAGACAACACGGTAACACCAGGCCTCAAACCAGACCGAAGATCACAGAGCACATTGCCAGTCTTGTCTGGTCTGTCCTACCACACTCACTGTATAATCCAGATTTGGCACCTTTTGACTTCCATTTGTTCAGGACAGTGAAAGAAGGACTGCTTGGGCAACATTTCCTAACAACAACACTATCATAGCAGCTGTGCAATGGAGGTCAGCTCCACTGGTGCAGACTCTGACAGGTGGGGCATCTCTGCTGGAAATGCACAGCTAATGGTGGTGGCTGTGTTGTAATTCAGTGTTTTGTAGCTGAGAATTTGCTCTATCAAATAGTGTTATTGTGCTTTTTGTAAATAGGAGGCATTACTTTCAGAGCAACCTACATATAGTTAATGGTTATAGTAAGTTACCAGGGGAAATTTTGGTTTTCTCTCAATTCTAAAGCCTCAAAAAGGGATTAGACATGGGCAGGATGACTGGCTGTACAGGAGGCACAAGTGGCCTGGGTGCTCGTGGTGATCAGTTCTGTCTTGGAGCTCCATGATTTTTTTTTTAAATATCTGTTTATTTTTCCTGTATTTCACAGCCTGCAGAGAACAAAAAGTGTTGTGCAGCCTTTCATTCGCCCATAACACTTTCTGTCTGCACTGAGGAACTGTAATCACATCTCATGCTTCAGAGCTCCTGGCTTGATGCCTGCATGGGTCAGGAGGGAACTTTTCTCTCTCCCTCCATGCAGAGTTGTCCAAAAGCAGTTCTGGGCCATTTTCACCTTTTTGGGAGCATCAGGGATTGGCCGTGCCTAAAACCAAGATGCTACATCATGCTGTCAGTATTCGAGGTGGTAGAGAGAATATTGTTTTGCAAATGCTTCGGCTGCATGCAGTGCTCCCAGGCACAAGATAGAGCAGATTGCCAGATTTGAGGTGGGAGTCCCTTTCTCCACACCACCACCCCACTCAGGTTATCAGAAACTTTGGGTGCATACCATCTTCTCTTGCATTTTGAGACATGAATCATTCTAGCAGATCATGTGCCTTCTCAGCCTAGCCCTAAAGGGGCTAGTTAAGGGCATTAGTGGCCCTGTGATTTCTCTTTTGTTCAGCAATTTGGTCTCCAGATGGTTTAATGTAACGTGCATCACAGTGCTCAGTGTTAGGACAGCTGCAGAAGTGTCATATCCATACCTTCTGTCTAGGTAGTTAAATTCTTATTTGGCCATAAACTCTGAAACAAATTTAAAGTTTTTCTATAAGGCTCAGTTATGATCTCTTAATTTACAATACAAGTAAAACATTTTAGGGATTAAACTCACTATGGCTTTGCCAAAAGGTATATGAATTCTAGTTCAAAATTACATGAAAAAATAGAAGTTAGACTGCCTACTTCCAAAGCACTTCAGCATCTGTTGTTCCATGGGGTCTTTGTTCAGCTGGGTGGATTTGCTTAGGTTTGCTTGTGCATCACTGCAGAAAGTAGGAGAGAAAGATTGGATTTGGGTATGGGAGTTGAGGAGCTGTTAGTGCTCCTGCAGACATGAGGCAGTTCTCACTGCAAGTTCCTTGAAGTCCCATAGTAGAGCAGAATAGCTCCAGTGAAGACACAGGCTGAGGAAAGATTCCTGAAGAGATGAAAAAGAGTTTCCTCTCTCCCATTTGCCATGCCATACCTTGGTTACTCTCTTATTCTGTGCTGTGGGTGCAAGTATGTTACTAAATATCAGCACCAGAGGTGTCTGTCCAAATATGCCCGATTCCCACAGATTGGTGTCTCTGTCCTCTCTACTGCTTTCTGTTTCATCTGTTCTCATTCATACAAGCCCTTAAGCTTAAAGCCATCCCAGTTCACATAATTCCGGTCAGCTGTTTTTTCTGCTTATCTGCTTTCTGGATTTGTTTTTATCTTTCTTCCTAATGTTTTCATCTCACTTTTTGCTCAGAACAACTTTTTTTTGTTATTTCTCTGTATGTGGTCTGCCTCATCACTACCAGCAGAAAACTGCAAACATGTTTGGTTCCTGCAAGGATGCTGAGAGAAGCCAGTATGTCTTCCCCAGCTGGATTTTAGTTCAGAAAGGAGAGCTGCATAAGATTGAGTGAGCTTGTTAGAAAGAATCTAAGAAGGCAACTAAGGGTTACATCCTGACAGCTGACTTGAAGATATTTAGGGCACTGCAGTAGAAAGGAGTTAAGATCAAATGTACCTCTCAAGAAATACCTGAAAAATGATAGAACAAGATCTGCTGTAGCTAAACGTAAGGGTAAGAAGGTATGTGAAAGAACCCTGGGAAAAAAGAAAAAAAAAAAGAGGGATAAAATGAGTAAAAGAGGAAGGGTCGTTCTAGCTTCTAACAAGCTAAAAATATGTAAAACATAATGAAAAGAGTTAGGAGAACAAAAACTATTTGCAAATGATAGAGTGACTAATAATAGATTCTCTTCAGTCACATCAGAGGCATAAAGCTTGCCAGACCATCTGTAGGACCTGTGCTGAAGTATAAAAGATGCGCTCAGGGCAGCAGAAAAATGAATGCAATTCCTTTTGTGCTTTCATCTCTCTTGAGCTGAAATGTCTGCAGATGAGATAATGATGTAGATAGACAAAATTAGCATTCTCAGTCAGGAGGCATTCACCCAAGAGTTGTGGAGGATGAAATAGTTGAACTATTAACTATGTTAATAAACTTGTATTAAAAACCACTGGAAGGTGGCTGATGTGATACCAGCTTTTCTACAGGCTCCATCCTGACCAGCGTGCTGTAAAATCCACATGCAGTAAGTTGTCAGGAACTGTAATAATAATAAGGGAGCAGAAGGTCCAGCTGAATTCCCAAAATGCCCCTAACAAAGAAAACTCAGATGTGGAATAAGAATATTGATTAAATGATTATGAGAAGATGAGTAATAGTACAGTACATGGTTGTTATGGAAATTAGTAGGTGGATCTGTTTAAAAATTAATAATAAAAAGCTTCTTATCCAAAACTTTGGTCCAAAACCCGAAATCATAGAATCGTAGAATAGAGAATAACTTTCCATAGAAGATGGGAAGCAGATGGAAAAAGCTGATGGCAGTTGAGTGCTTGGTAGTGTTTTAGAGCTTTCTAATCCATTAACTTGTTTGAAGTAATGAAGGTAAGGACCAGCTAGGAGATGCTGCAAAAGACCCAACAAGACTGTAAGAAGGTGCACGCAGGAAAGCAACCATCATTCTGCAGTAAGGTACTGGGTTCAAAGTGGTCTATCACCAACTATAAACTATTTCTTGTTAATTTAATTTAATTGATTGTTCCGTGCAAGTGTCGGCATAGTGCTTGGTGGTTGTCAAGAAGATAATGTGGGGAATGGAATGAGGAGGGAATAAAAGACAGAACAACTTTGCAGTCCTGAATAAATCCATGGTGCAGCCACATGTGGAATGATGTGTGAGGTTCTGTTCCTCACACCACTAAAATGTTGCAGTGTTGGACGTATTTCATACAAGGAACAGCTAACTGGATTGATACTCTTCTGGCTGGGAAAGAGGCAGCCCAGGGGTGATACGAAGAAGATCTACAGTTGTGAATAGGGGTTGACTGTTAGTCTCTTTCAGTAGGAAAGCAGTGGGGCATCATATGAAGCTGCTTGGATGGGTTCAAAAGGAACAAAAAATGCTGCTTTGTACACCTGTGCAATTCCTTGTTGCAGGGATTGCTTTTGGATGCTAAAAGTTTACAGAAGTTCAAAACCCTCTGGCACTAACAGATGGGAGAAGATTCCATCGATGGCTATTAAATATTAAATAACAACTATCAGTTTTGTCTCAGAAGTCTACAAAATGCAGCTTGCAGGAGGCTTGGGAAGCGTTCTGAGGAGAAGCCCTACGTGCTTGTCCTGTTCTTACACTCTTCATCAGGAATCCATTGTTGACAACTGTCAAAGCAAACATCACGGGCTCGATGGACTTTTGGTCTGAAGCCACACTACTGTTCCTGTGTTCTTCAGGCAATGAGCCCAAGACCACCAGCACCAGCCCTTCCACTCAACCTTATGCTCTGGGCAAATGTCTGAGGAAAGCTGTAATACATGCTTCCTTCACCATCTCCTATAGACTGTGAGCTCCACTATTTGCTCACTCGGAAGGTGCCATACAGTTCCTCAGGATCCATTACTACAAATCGCCTCAACATATGGCTTTCAATTGTGCTCTTAAGCTGCATTTGATGCCCTTGATACTTCGGCCATCTTGGCATATGCTGAGTCTGTAACCAGAGGGCTCACTTCTTCCTCCTGGTTCTGCCACTGAAGTCCACCCTCTACCACTGATGTTCTCACTTTTGGGCACAAATTATCTGTCCAGCTGTTACTGATGCCCCACCACCCAGTCAGTGCCAGGGAGCAAGAATCAGGTGTGTTCTGTTTAATTTTGTAGCTTTCTGCCCTTTTCAGGAACTTCTGTCTCAAGGTACTGCTGTGGCAGGTGACTCTGTTGAGGCAGCTCCTTGCCTCGGGAGTGAATCACAGTAACCCAAGAACATCAAGTATTTGGTCACCATGGAAACCAGTTGGTGTGTTGAAGTCAAAAACAGTTTCAAACCCTTGCCAGTCATACAACTTGCTTTCATTTCAAGGTCTTCATGGTCAGATAATGTCAAGATATTCTGAGGTCTCGTCCTTTCTGTCGGAAGCCATGGAACTAGAGAATCCAGCGTGTGAGGTGGCAACCCAGCTGTCAGGAATGCTGAATATAACGGTAAAAGAAAATCATTTCAGCCAGCAAGCAAGCGAGAAATGTGGGATAATGTATGCTGAGACAGCTTGCAGAAACTAGAGGCTTTGCAAAATTTACTTTTTTTCTTGAAGGGTTATTGATCAGACAGACACTCTCTTCCCCTGAAAGCCTACTAGAAGGTAAAGTAAGATTTTCCTGCACACTTCAGTCTGCCTTGCACAGGCTGTGGTAATTCTAAAGCCAGAGTTATCAGTGTGACACCCAGAAGTTTGTCCATCCTCCAGATCAGCTCACACAGAAGTCAGTCCATCCTTTGGATGCCCAACTAATGATTTTGATGCTCGATAACTTGGTATCAGAAGACTCTTCAACCTTGTTTCCCTACCTAAGACCTGTGTTTCAGTGGTTCTGGATCGTACTAATGAGCAGTAATGTATGTATTACATCAGTGCAGATACCTGAGCAAGCATTTTCAGGTTTTTTTGGCCCCTAAAATTTTGTATGAAGCTGCAGTAAAAGAGTGTTGAGCTCTGTCCCACCTTGGAGCTTTACACAAGGCCTCTCATCCAGACAGTACAATAAAATGAGCCTGTAGCATCTTGCTGCTCTCTAACCATGTTCTTAAATGTGATTTTTCTGGTAGCAAGAAGTTCTGCCAGAGGGCAAGAAAGACCCTCCTGCTAAATGTCTAACATCCACTGTCTTTTGGCCTGCTTCCCAAGATAATTTTTTTTCTTTTCATTCCTGACATCCTATCTGTGTTTCACTGGAGCCAGAAAATAACCCTTCATTCCCCCCAGACCTTCAGGGACAGCAGCACGTTTCTGCAGACACTGATGTCAAGCAGACTGTCTATTTTCTATCTGTGCAGAACCAAGCTCATCAGGTGGCCTCAGTTCATTTGTATCATGAACTAGGAGATACAGAAGTGCAGTGATACTGGTAATTGCATAACATATCGTATCTGGAGATGTTAGGATACCATCTAAATGTTTGTGCTGTCATTAAGTTCCATCAGAGGTCAAGTTGTATAAAAGCCTCTGTAGAGTAGAGAATGGCTCCATTCTTGACACCTGCAGAGCTGTTGTGGAGTTCCATGAAGCTCTGTACCATTGCAGATGCTTCTAGGACTTATGCCAAACAGTGAAGCAGATTGTGGTTTGCAGACTGCTCTATAATACTTGAGACGCCCAGCTGCCCTTATCTGCATGTGGGGAGAGACAGATGGGGAATTATTGCTTGGAGTTACCTTCAGAATATGCATATGGACCGTCAACTGAAGAAGAAAAGAAGATAACTTGATTGTCTTTGGGTTGTTTTGAGATCTGTAGTGTAAATCTACACCGACTGCTTTCTTTGCTTCCACTGAAATCTTGTGGTTGGGACAAGTTGCAGGCTGCATATCCTTGCTTACTGAATATGTGCATATTAACAGTGTGAACCTCAAAGAAGACTGCTTAATCATGGTAAACCTCTTTTTTTTTTTTTTTTTTCCTTCTATGCCAGCAATCTGATCCTTATGCCCTGTTTACGAGGGGGAAAAAAAGTGAAATTAAACCTGAGTTGTATATGGATGGATATTCTGGAAGAGGTGGAGGGAGACTTTATCGCTCCTTCCAGCATCCTGAAAGGAGACTGATGAGGTTGGGGGTTTGTCTCTGCTCCCATGTAGCAGTGATGAGATGAGAGGTAATGGCCTCAAGTTGCTCCAGGGCAGGTTCAGATAGGATATTGGGATGAATTTCTTCTCCAAAAGAAAAGTGAGGTATTGGCACAGCTGCCCAGTTGGGTGGTGGGGTCACCGGCCCTGGAGGTGTTCCAGAACCATGGAGATGTGGCACTGAGGGACCTGGGCAGTGGGCATGGTGCGGTGGGGTGCGGTTGGACTCGGGGATCTTCAGGGCCAGGCTGGATGTGGCTCTGGGCAGCCTGGTCTGGTGGTTGGTGACCCTGCACAAAGCAGGGGGATTGAAACTGGATTATCACTGTGGTCCTTTTCAACCCAGGCCATTCTATGATTCTGTGATCTCAGAGGTCTTTTCCAATCATAATGATTCTGTGATTCACTGATTATGGTTTGAGTAAACAAGATGAATGCAAACATTGAGCAGTCTGATGTTTCCACGAAGGCAAGCTTCCTTATGTTTATTTAACATTGCTGACTTCATTAAGTGCTTCGAGAGATTTTTAATATCTTATAAACTCTGCTTAAGCATCTGTGTGAACATGGATTTAAGTAGGTGGGCTGAATAACTGTAGATGTTTTGTGAATTAAGTGAGAATATCCTTATGCTTCTCTGAAGTTTATGTAGGACTTAAAAAATCCTGAAGAACCTAAATGAAAGCTGCTGACAGTTTTTATTTTTGGCCATTTTTATGTTAGCACAGATTTGAAAGGAAGTCAGGAGGATTTTGCCTGTGTCCCGCTGGAAAGATCCCATTTATCTGCAGAAGTCAGCAGCAGTCTTGTTATCTCTTGGCCATACGAAGCAGTCATTCTTCTTAGAGTTTGTTAAAGATTTAGCACATCTTCTTCAGGACCAGTTTTCATGCACTGTACATGTTTTATTTTCAGGATTCCTCAGAAGTTTGCACTTACCAGTTTCTTTACAGTTTCTCATTTGTAAGTGGGGCAGCAAAATTAGTGAATACCCAAATCATTGCTGTTTAGGAACAGTATGTCTGAGATGATTAAATACTAAGTGTCTGAGCCATGAGTCTGCAGGCACTGGAAGGGTTTTCACAGCCATGCCACTGTATGTGTCCCCATTTTGTCCTTTTCTCTAGGCATATAGTATTAGCCCTAGTCAAAGGGAGACAGACTTTCCATTTGATCCAGTACGGCCACTTCTGGGATCTTAAATCTCCTCTAGACTGTAGCCAGAGGATCACAGTTGACCTTTTGACCATGACAGCACACTGACAATATATGCTCATTTGTTCATTAGTCATGATATTGTCCTTTCCCTGACCTTTGTTTCCTTTCAGATTCAGTGCTTTCAGGGAAACTATTCCATCATCCTTTGAGTGTCTTCTAAGCTCTTCATTTGGTATTACAGTGGTGTTGGTGACTTTGTATCTGGCCATCCTTCAGTGCCCATTATTCCCATGCTCACAAGACATCAGAGCTAGCACCAGGCCTAGTTTTTGACATTACTGATTGTGGTGCATGACTTTGTGTTATATCTAGAGCAAAGTTGCTTGAAATAAGTTTACTTTGAAGCAGATAAAGAGGAATGGACCTCAGCCATTCTAGGTGATTCTTCCTATTATGCCTCACCTGTAGTTCCCTAAGCACATAAAGATCCATCTGTATAAATGTTTGAAGCCTTGCTATTTTGTCTACCTGAACATTAAGAAAGAGCACCTCTGCTGTTCCATCAAGTTTCCCTTTCTGTCTTCAGTAGGGAAGTGAAAAACACTGATGTGAAAACCTAACTGAAACATCATATTTATGATTTATTATTATTATTATTATTTTTGCAGTAGAAATGACTGCTCTTGTTACACTTAATTGACCAAGCCCAGCTGAATTATGTGTTCATCTGGCCTTCTGATGAAGGCTTACAGTATAGAAATCGTAGTTTTTAAAACAAAAATGTCATCCACTAGGCAAAAAAAAATAGCTTGTTTGAATTAGTCAAGTCTATAGAAGACGTTAGTTAGCAATGGCAGAGGGAGAGTTTTGAGATTCAAAGCAGTTGCTTTCATCTTTAAATGTTGTTATTCGGTTGTGTTTTGCCAGAGCTCAGAGCAGCATCAGGAACTCAGCTGTCTTCCAGATATACTTACAGGGAAAATATATCTGTCGTTTCAACTCAGCCTGCACCTGTAAGCTGAGCCTTTGGTTTCTCTAAGTTTCACTGTTTTGTTTTGCTTTGTTTGCCACCATGTTTTAACAAGATAAGCATCTCTATGCATTTCCCCTTCATTTTAGTAATTGCCTTCTCTAGTGACTATTTCCTGTGCACTTTTGTTCATTTATTGTAAGATCTAGGTGTACAGGCCACATACACGTATGTGTGGAGCCCTGAATTAATGAATGACCATACTGTCATACAAAACAATTCATTAAAAGCCTCTCAGTTCATCAGATGGAAAAAAGTATTAGATTCACTAAGCTGCCCAAAGGCATAGCTGGAAATTTGACATCATCAGACACTGAGGTGTGAGATGAGGTTGTGAGATGAGCCCTCCTGGAATTCAGTACAGGTATTGTATCCCAATTTGGGTTGTGCAGAGCAATACTGAAAAAGAGATAGGTTTGATTGTTTGTGATTCAGGACATAGAGGAGTTTATGACTAAAACACAGTAGTTAGATCACCATGTGAAACAAACTGGAAAGCAATTTTGTTTCTTGAAGCCAATATTTAACGTGCTTTCTTAGAAAGTGGTGCTTATCAGGTATTCAGTTACATTCTGCATCCTCAGAGCTCATTGTAGTGATCTTGTCTGATAAGAAAATACGTAGATAATGGTAATGCAATCTCATCAAGAAATTAGGAGATGAATACCTTGTAGTAAAATAAGAATTAAATGTACTTTTGCCCGCTGACTGGAAGTTCAGGATCAAATGAGAAACCAGGGTTGTAAATTTGGATAACTGGACAAAAGTCAATTTGATAATGCCTCTTCTCTTTCTTCTTATTGCCTGGTTATACCATTTCAGCCTTACTTGGTCAGTGCTCAGTCACTGTTGATATAAGGAAAGGGAGGTTAACAGGAATGAGCT